CCACTGTGCACGGAGGACCTTCTCCCCAGGCCGGAGCGGAGCTGCCAGCTCGCTGTGTGTGCCTCTCTGGCACCCTGTCCCCTCTCTCCGGCCCCGCTCCGGCTGGGTCTTGGCTGGCCCAGTCTACACCGAGCGCCCTTTGAAACTGGTGCCGCTGGGAGGGGAGAGGTGCCGAGGACTGCGTGGGACCCGGAGCTTGTGCGTCTGTCCCAAGTTTGCAGTGGAAGTGGGGAGGGGGTTTCCGGGTTAGCGGCTTTCCGAAATCAAAGGGAGCATGGAAGTTTTCATTTCAGAGGGCCCTGATACCACAGGCTTTTCTTTCCCAAATGTCTGTACGACGTTAGCAATTCAGGGAAGGGCAGGCATAAAAGATGATAAGGTACTCACGAGAACACTGTCACATTATTTACTTACACACACGCTTGTGGATATATAATAGATGCACAACGCAGATATTACCTATCAGACACTACGCTGACTATCGCCTCGGTGTTAGAGCGAGAGAAATGCATTGCATCGGCAAAATACACCTTTATCTGCTCATCAAGAGCCAAGAAAATCTTGGCTACAAATGATACTTTTCTGCTCATTATTTATCCAGTCAGTGTAGACAAAGCCACATTTCATTTTGTAAAACCTGAAACATACCAGTAGTCTAACTGCCTTTAATAAAAAATAGTACTGTCACCTTCAGTGTACACCATACTGGTGAAAGAAATTAGGAATGGCTTGGTGGAGTTCAAACATAAAAAATGTTTTTGTGTTATGCTCTTTGCGTTCATATTTATGCCAGGTAGACCTTGTCAAATACCTATAGAGAAGAACTTGTTCATGCATGCAGAACAAAATAAAATAAAAGCGCCAGGAAATCAGCCTGCTTCAAAAACCATTAAAATGTGCCTCTCGCCCAGCTTTCCAAAAGTGTTAATTGTCGTGTTTCAGTCATGTAAATATGTTGCAATATAGGGGCCTCGGCCCTCTGGGCGTGGGGGCGGGGAGGCCGGCTCAATGGCACACTGTGCCCAGCCCGCCTTGGGCAGCGTCTCCTCGGTTCTCAGTGCCCAGAAATGCTTCGCGGACGCCCGGGGCTGCCTAGCAATGGGACTTTCTACTTCTGGCGAGCTTGAAAAAGTAAATACAACTATGGAACATAAGGCAGCTCCTAATAAAGAACAACAGTCCCCCCTTGTAAACACCTGCACTGGGCCCCATTCAAAATTCTTTCTCGTACCCAGGAACCGCGGACCCTCAGGGCGGGGTCTCAGAGGCGTGGCCTCCGCCCAGCTCACGTCCTCGGCTCCAGCCTGGGCGGTGCGTGGGAGGGGAGCACAGCCAGGCCGGAAGGGCCCAGCCCCGTTCCCACGCGTGTGCGGCGTGAAAACGTGACGGCCACCCTCTGCATGCGCTGACCGCCCCGACTTGGACGCAGAAGCCTCGGCAATCTGCTGAGTTCCCACTTCGGGACTCCCCGGGAGGCTGTTAGCTCTCGCTGCCTCCAGCGCAGTTTCCACCGCTTACGGTTTCACAGAGCGAGGAAAGGGACGGAACGGAAGTCTCATGTTGTCCTTACTACGAGCCTATTTCTCAACCAATTTTTTTGCAAGCTCGGCATTTACAAAAAAACGCTCTGGGGTCCTAAGCCACCTTCGTGTTCTTCAGGCCGAGGGTGGCACCCAAGACACTGCCCCTAGCTCAGGTAGGAAAGGGCTTCTGCTGAAGCTGGCCCGGAGCTCTGGCCACAGGAGCAGTCTGTCCCAAGGAGGGCCGGTCATCTTGCTTCTGCCACCCAGCTCTCAGGAGTCCAGATTCTGCCCCTCCGGAGTTCGGTGGGCTGGCGGCACTGGGACAGTGGGGCCCAGCTGAGACGCCAGGTGGGTGGCCGCAGTCTCCTGGGGAGCCCCAAGTGCCTCCTTGGGGCCGTGGCACAGAACGGGACCCAGGGGCGAGTCCTCCAGCCCAGGCACCCCCTTTGTTCCCCCACAGAAGGTGCGGGGGGCAGAGTCACCCCTCTCAGGGCTTCCACAGCCCCTGTTAAGGCGAGAGTTCCAGTTGCATCGCTCCAGCTGTTGCCTAAATGACTGTTTTCCCGTCCTGCTCATGTCGGAGCAGTAATGGGAATAAAATGGACCTCAGAACAAAGGGACAACTGAAAGAAACATCCCCCTTTAGTGTGCACAGGAAGAAAACCCTGTTGGAAGGACAGCTCTCCTGGAGCTGGGTGTTCTCTGTGGATGTGTGGGGCAGGGAAGGCACACTGTGGGACTCGTGTCTTAAGTGCCTCACAGCAAGCCTGGTGGAGTTCTTGTGACCAGGACCATGTCAGGGTTCCAGCCCACCTGGGAGGAGGATGGAGCTCCCAGCATCCCCGGCACTCCTGCAGGAGTGTTCCAGGGTGCCACCGGCCTCACCTGGAGTCCCCCTGCCTCCACACAGGGCGCTGAGAGTCTCCACTTGCGCAGGAGGAGGCTAGGGGGATGCTCAGGTACCTGGTCTCTAGTCAGAAGAGCAGCCGTGTTTTCCATTATTGAAAATGTCCTTGCCAGGGTAGCTGAGTGGCGGAGCACTTGCCAGGCACGCCCAAGGCCCTGGGTTCCATCCCTGGCAGAAAGGGAGGGCGGGGAACGGGTGTCCATGCCTGACTGCAGGAGAGGGGGTGTGGCCCTGGAACTCGGGAAGGAGTTTCTGTTTTTTTGTTTTGTTTTGGTTTGGTTTTTGAGACAGAGTCTCACTATGTAGTTGAGACTGACCTGGAACTCCCTATGTAGCCCAGGCTGGTCTCATCACAGCGATTGTTTTTTTGTTTTGTTTTGGTTTGGTTTTTGAGACAGAGTCTCACTATGTAGTTGAGACTGACCTGGAACTCCCTATGTAGCCCAGGCTGGTCTCAACTCACAGCGATCCTCCTGCCTCAGCCTCCCAAGTGCTGGGATTACAGGCATGCGCCACCACACCCGGCAGGGGAGGAGTTTCTGATGTCACTTCCCTACTGCCTCTTACTTTAAAAATTAAACCCAAGTCAGTTGGCACAGAGACAGACTCCACAAGGGTGGCACCTGTTTTTTGGGGCACACTTCGAGTCACTGCTCGTTGGCTGCTCTGAAAGCTTATCCTGACTTGAGGCTTTTCCCTTCCATTCCCACAGCCTGGGCCTCCTTCCTACAGGTCGCACGGGTCCCTTACCAGTGTCTTCTGGACGTGCAGCTCTTGGCCTAAGCGGCACTGCAGAAAGGCCTTCCTGACCTGGTCTGGGTGGCCACTGCCAGTCTGTCCCACCACGGTTTAATTCTTAAAAGCAGCTTCGCCACCCCGCTTGTCCTCTGCACACATCTCTGTCCTGGGTGTCGTCAGCTGTCCTCCCTGTGTTGTGTCCCTTCTGAGCACTGTTCCAGTGAAGTGGCATCTTGCTGTCTCCGCACAGCAGGGTGTCGGAGTGCAGGTGGCAGACCAGCCTGCCAGGGTTCAGTGCCTGGAACTGGCTGGCGTGGCAGCGTCTTCTGCTCCTTTGGTTCCCACCCAGCACGTGCAAAGGGCAGGTTGATGTGGCGCCTTCCCCTAGCTGGCCCTGTGTGCAAGGAGAGCATCTGTCGCTCTCTGCCATAGCTCTGTGCCTCTCCCCGCCTGCAGCCCCTGATCTGGGAGAAGTTTCCCGGCCTGTCCTCCTTGGCCGTCACCACCCGGCCTGCGATCACCGCTGGAGGACACGCTGAGGAGAGCACACAGTCCTGAGGCTTTGAATGACTGCTTTAGGGTCCAAGTGACCCCGGCTTCTGTGCAGAGTGCAGCTTCTCTGGCCAGCCAGTTCCCTGTTGCTGCCCTGCCGAGGGTCCTGGGTCTGTTTCCTTCCCTTCCGCTCTGCCTGTGAGAGTCACAGCTCAAGCACTTGTCACAGTGTCGCTCAAGGATTCATCCCAGGAAACAATGCCACCGAATTGTGCAGAGTGAAGACCGCTAGCTGCAATGGGCTGAGGAAATAACTGCAGGACTGGGGACACTGCCACCCACTCTCCAGTCAGGGTCTCATGTCCCCCAGCCGTCCCCACAGCTGTACCCTGGTCTGGGAGGCAGTCACAGCACCCAGACACAGGCCAGCATCATGCCCATGGCCCCCATGTCTGCCCTGGCTGCTGCTCCTCCCGGACACTGTGTGATGCCAACCCCAGCCTCTCAGGCGTCTGCAGCGCTGGCTAGGGGCACAGACAGTGGCAAAGGCTGCCGCCCAGGGCAGAAACAGAACCTGGAGAGGTGGGGGAAATTGGCCCACAGCCCCTACCCTGTCCACACACCCTGCTGACAGCTGTCTCTGGCCACAGTGACCACAATCCACCCTCGGGGGAGAACTGCAGGCTTTGCAGGCAGGACGGAGAGCTACAAGGCCCTGAGCACCCAGAGTGCATTCAGTGGGGCAGGTGCCACACACCTATATTGCAGCACTGAGGGAAGCTGAGGCAGGAGGATCACAAATAGAAGTCCCTCCTGTGCAACTTTGAAAGATCCTGTCTTAATGTAAAAAATTTAGCTGGGGATTTAGCTTAGCAGAGCCATACCTACCTCTAAAGTGCAACGTCCTGAATTTGATCTCCAGTACTAAAAAAAAAAAAAAAAAAAAAAATGGGGGCTGGGGATTTCCCCCCGGGGTTTCTGCTGCCTGCCTTGCAAGTGCAAGTTCCTGAGTTCAATCCCCAGTACCAAAAAAAAAAAAAAAAATTAAAGGGGTTAAATATAGCTCAGTGGTATCCCCTGGGTTCAATCCCCAGTACTACCTAAAACAAAACAAAAGATTGAGACTCTATGCATGTCGCTTTAGCCCTGAGTCCCTCAGCCCACAGGGAGAGCTGAGCAAGGAAGGGCTGGGTCACGGCACGGGACCAGGACCCCTTGTTCAGGTCTAGTGGCCATGCTAAAGGCAGGGACAGTGGCTGGAGCCCACTCCGTCCACCCAGGAGGAGGGACTGAGTGCGGTCACCCAGCCACGGGCGTGGCGGGGAGCCGGATGGGCTTTG